TAGTTTCCTTAACTCTCTGAGCGACGGTCAGTAAGGGGGCAAAGTGAGTCAGCTTTATCTTCCCCTCCCTCGCGAATACGAACATTAAAAAGCTCGCCTTATCAAATTCATGCTGCTGTGTTTTGATGTATTTTGGATGCTTTGTGGGTTGTGTTTATAACACAGAAATATAAACTTAAAGTTTGCCACTGTAACACAGCTTAGTTTTGCAGAGGACGCTGCATGCTTGACTATACTTGAACGATTATGTCAGGCTTCTCTTCAGAAAGCCAAACTGCAGTCAGCCACCAAGCAAACATCCTTTCCTACTCTGCTCCACATCCTGATCTAGGAGGGAAACTGCTAGTTATGATAACACAAAGGTGCAAACAGATACAGCACAGCCCAGTTAACACCCACCTACTCAACTGCACCCTGTGGCCTCAGAGTAGATGTACAAAGTCTTTAAAGATACAGTGTAGGAAGGAAGCTCTTGAAATGCGAGAAACAAAGGTTCAGTATAACTAATCAATAGAACAAATCCAATCACTCAAATGAGACAGGATAAGAGACTTTGGCCTGTCAGGTCAGGACCCTTCTGCTCCATTTAACCACAGAGTGGCTGCTGCTGCTGTGTGGGCCCGGCTGAGCCAGCTGGAGTAATATGATATTAATGTTAATGTCAGCAGACAGCTAATCAACAAAAACAAAAATGACATGTGGAAGCATTCATCACTGAAGTCTAGGAGGAGACTTTGATTTAACGTCAAAACCTTTACACTTGGCCACAAACCAGGTACTGAGAGACAACAAAAGCACTTGCAAAATATCTAAACTTACGGTATGTATAGGACTGCATGAGATTTACACAAGAGCAAGCACCAGCCAGCTCCATACCAGCCTCCTGTAACAACATCTTTTGCGAATACAAAGTGTGTGCATTAACGTTTACCCAACATGACTTCTTTCCAGGTGTGTTGCGGCTGTGTTGTTACCCGAAACAAGCTCCCAAAACGACATTTCTCAAATGTCACCTCTGACTCAGTGATGTACAAATATTATTGAGTTTCTTTGCCGACTCATCAGGTAAACTGTCGCGTTTGGACTGCATTCTGTACTGATGGATATATTTGTGTGGAAGTGACTAACACCACCACTACATTCCACAGGCTGTCCCATTAGAACCGATGTTTTCCTCTGTGATGCACCAGTAATGTGCATGTTCTTTGCACAAAGAAAATTGAGATTTATAACAGGCCAATGCAGTTAAATCGTTAGCTGCTCTATTAAAACCAACAGAGCGTGACATTCCCAAACGTGCGAAGGTGCAGCCCGCGGATCCCACGGTAACGTTTAAAAAAAAATCCCACTGTTTGTCAAACGACTGAGAGAAGCGTGTCTTCTTACCTCTGAATGCCACGTGATTATAATCCAATCGTCAATAATTCTATTAAATCCATTTTCCTGTGTAAATCCAAATTTCACAGTGAAGCCAAAACGGGAATGTCTATTTTTTCTGCTCGATAGGGATATAGAGCACCGAGCCACACGGCAGACGAGAAGGCGCAACTTGAAACTGACTGAGAGGGATCCGTCGAAACCATAACGCCGACAAGGAGGGGGGGACGTGCAGCTCTGTAAATAACAGTATGTTCCTGAAATTTGAGCGAACAAATAATGTTCCTGTATTACATGTTGAAATAAGAGTACAAAGCAGTAATAGACTGCATACGGCAAAGAGACGACGCTGTGCTAGCTTGTACTTCAATCTCTCTAACAGTACAAGGTGAGCACCCCCCGCTCTTTCTTGAGGTGAGCCAGCGTGTTTTAACTCAGTTTAATCCAATTGGTCTCTTCCAACGTGACGCAGCAGCAGTGTTGCGTTCACATGCTGTCGAAACCTTGGCCGAAACATTAAAACTGGTTTAGACAACCGGGGATACCGGCGGGGTTTCATTTAACGTGATATCCGAACAGACAAGTTTTATTTGTATTTATTTATTTTGTTATCTTTCAGTTACTGTAAAATATTTCCCGTTTGCCTTGTGTGCGATTGTGTATATAAATATTGACTTAACCTGTGGGGTGAAAAATTGATAAATTATTGCTAGTAATAATTAGCCTGGGTTACTGTAAAATTGTTTACTGGGCATCATCCGCACAGGTGAGTCACCAGAATATAGAGGCGTGATTCAGATGTGCACTCTGGAGTTTTATATGGACAGTAAAAGAAGTAGGCTCTAGGTAGTCTGGAGTGATGAGGCGCATGACATAAAATAATGGTTAACATTCCTGAAACGTGTGTATCTGTTGTGTCTATCTTCAAGTCTCCTTCTTTTCCACTGTAGGAAATCTTGAAAATATGATTCCAAAGGAAATTCCAAAGCTCATTTGTTTGTTTTCTAACAAAGTATAGACCCAGATTGTGCAGTGGTTTCAAAGGGGCTGAAGTTTGCCTCAGTGGGAAACCATAAGATTACAATTTGGGAAAATTATAAGTTTTAAACAATCACTTTCAAATGGCAAGAAACAGTTTAGTGAGTGTTTGGCTGCTTCCCGCAGACAGAAATGTGCATTACTGATACACTGCTTTTGTTTCAGTCACAACATGGACTTCTCCCCAGACTACAAAAAATGGTTCTGCAATCCAGACTGCAACTGAACCTTGTCAAAAGAAAGGTTTTTATTAACCAATCATTCAAAGTCATTACTGGTTCATTAACTGGATCACAGGCAAGCAAAAACAGTGCAGTCTCAAGGATGAGGCAGCTTGAGATATAGTTCATCCACTTGGATCAGAAGAAGATTATCTATTTTCTCCAAGGTGCTACATTCTTAGGCCATGTTGAAAGGAGAAACCCTTCAGCTGCTATCAGCTCTGGGCACATTACCGCAGCTAGCAAGCAAACACCTTCCCATCAGCTCATGTCACAGGACAGATAGTGTGGCTGAGACACAAGGCACGTATAATATAAACTACAACTTTGGCCAAGTTGGTAGTTCAGTATTAGTTTGATTTATTTTGTTTAAAATAGCTCTATAAGCACAATTTAATAAATGATATGGTGTATATACTAAAAAAAATACTGAAAAATATTGGTCCCACCTATGCAGGGAGAAGATAAAATACAGGGATATCAAGTACAAATATACAAGGAGAGATAAATGGGCAGAATCGTATAAAGCCATATACTAACCAGATTATCACGGTTAAGTCACATGTAATGCACACAAATAAAAAGCAAAAAAATCCAACAGCCTGTAAACATCATGCTTCCTTCTATAGCAGGACATGAATTAGATCTTTAGCACTTTATTAGTGACTCTGCATCATCTCTCTTGCATGCTTTGCAATTATGTATGAGGTTCAAATGTAAGCTAATGTAAAACAGCAACATTTTGACCATGAATTAACTTGCAGCTAGAAAACCTCTCTGTTTCTACCACAAGGACATTTTACATAGCATACAAGTCCTGCAATCAGAGCAAACTGTCCCAGCTGAAATTTTCCATGGATTTGCTAATTATACAAAACCCCGGTGGGGCACAGAGTGTCAGCCACATCTAATTGAGTGGAAATGAGCAAGATAGAAAAAGGAAGACAGACTTGGAGGAGTAGAAATGGAAAAAAAAAAAGAAAGACAGGACTAAGATTAGCGGTTGGAGGCTGAATGACTCGATGCATAATACATCGGAAGGAGTTTCACCGTGTTATGAAATTGCCTCTAATTGCGCTGAGCACCCTGGTTCCCACCATGGCTCTGTTTGCTGTTAAGGTCTGTCATCAGCCTTTGAGTAAACATACAGACAAAGGGTTGTCTACCTAAGGTGAGGCAGGTTGCATGCATTCTCCACATCACAAAGGGATTACTGATGCCATCCCTGAAATCATCAAAGGCATCTGCCATGTCACATTATCCAATTCTGATGACAAAGGACTGCATCAGATCTCCTTTCATTTGCTTGCAGTGCAGCAGGTGAACGTGGGTAATAAAGGTGAAGTACTCACTGTACTGAATGAAGACAGGAACAAGCTGAAGATCCAAAAGCTATTCCTCAGAATGGAATTGTTGTCTTCCTTCTTCCCTTTCCTCTTCTCTTTCTGCCTCTCCTCCTGCCTTCTTCCCCCCCGCCCTCCACCTCCTCTTTTCTCACCACAGCAAGATGCTGCCTGGACCAGTGCTCGTTGTCATGGTAACCAAGACTGGGGGGGGGATTCTCATGTGACTGGATCTCCTTGAGCACCGATTGGCCAGATGCACTGATGTAAGGAGGGAGAGATGGGGCGGAGGGGGTGATGTCACATGCCCACCGGTTCACAGATTGGAGGAATCCTCAGCCAGGGCGCCTGCAAGCACAGACAGACACAATGGGCGTCTTTTTAAGGTGGGGTTGATCTGACGTGGAGCACTTCCACAGTCAGGAAGAATCTCCTTGACTGACTTGGTGACTTACTTAAAGGGATCCTGACATGCTGATGTAAGAAGTGAGATGGAGCTGGCTTGGCTCCCACCTGTTTTTGCTGTCACCTCGAACTGTACTGCTTTCTGCTGCCACTAAAATCTCTCCCAACTGGCAGGATGCAGAGTGTTACAAAACATATGGGATTGCTCATATGTGGCAACTTGACCTGCTGGACCTACCACTGTTCCTCCTCCTACTGGGCCTACAGTATTTATAGGACTGCAGAAACCAGACAGATGCAGGACTGCTGCTATTCACTCTTAGTTAGCCATATTCATACAGCTTTCAACACAAACCATTGAGACATACAGTGCATTGTATGTCTTAATGGTTTGCTGCTGATAAGAACTTTCAGCTATTTCCTGAAATAAAAGGTTACATTCACCACACATTTAACTGCTGCCAAACTGTGATTAAAAACACAGAAGAGCTAGCAGAACACCACAAGAATGTGCAGCCATAATTGCATAATTATTCTTGCTTTTGTCACAGATTTTCTGTTTTAGAGTCTTGAAAGGTAGTGGTGACGAGGACACAGGAATTAAAGGTGGACTCAGCTTCCTGGCTTCATTTAAGCAGTAGATATCAGATATCAGGATAAACACTTTTATGTTTTCTATCCCTTATGAGCAGAAAGTAGGTCTCTATTAATTTCCCAACGATGACATGAGTAATCACGGTCTGAGCCTGTTGTCCAGACTGTTGTGTAACAGTTTGGGATTGGTCCAGTTCAGCCAGAGATGAGAAATGTTCTTGAATCGTGTTTGTTTCTCTGAGCTGAGCTGGTGTCATGTGTTGCCTTTTTGCACTCAGCAGCTCAAAAATCCCGATTTGACAAAGTTGTCAGAGTTGGTGGTCGTCTGGATTGCTTCATTGTGGCCATCTTGTTTTGCAGTGCGTCTGTGGAGAGTCGTGTTGTGTATGCGTGTGCACGCCCACTGATTTCCATGTAAGCAAAAACAGATTCACTCGTGCCACTGACCTGTGTCTCAGGACATTTCTTTACTTTTTTTTTAGTAAAATTAATTATCCGTGGTCTTCTATGCTATGGAAAATGACAAATTCTATTTATTCTTAAAACATACAAATAGATTTGAATGCATATTTTCACTGTGAATATCCCACTCCCACTCACCCACTCACACTGTCTGAATCAATCAGACATGTAGCTTAAACATCAAGCTCCAGTGACACCAGGGATATGCATAATGCACCCATTTTTCCTGTGATGCCATAACTGGGCAGGGAGCTTTATTAATAAAACATGCACCACGGTCTCCAAAGCGATCTTTTTCTCCACACCCAGCAGGCACTGCCCACGTAAAGGTGTCATTCACTTTCATTTAAAAAAAAAAAAAAACAGAATAAAAATGCAGGACTTGCTTAGTGCTTCCTTGTCTTGCATCTATATCACTCCATCTTCAGTGCAAAAAAAATGTACACAAACAAAATTAAAATGCTGAAGAAATCTGATTTATGTCTTATTTACTGTGAGTCTAACACTTGAAAAAAACAAACAAATATGCTTTATGTGTGATAATTGACTTGTTTACAAAAGTGCAGCTTAACTGTAACAGACGACACGTTAATGCAGGTCCAGCTCTCTGAAACACTCGACAGCCATAAGGTCTTCATCTGTATGGCTACATTCATATCGAGGCTCTCACTGTTACTGTACCCTCTCCTCCAATTCCCTCAAGTGTCTCTGTACATATGCTCTCCCCTCTCCCTTCTCGTGTGAGTGTGAATGAAAAGATGATGAGATCAGTGATACGAGTGATCTCATCATGTTCATAGCCGGCCATCAGGAAGCTGTTATGGGCCATTGAGCACTAAGCTGCAGAGGAGAAGGAACTGAGAAGAGGAATGGCAAAAGTAAATCTTCCTCATCGGATTGACCTTACTTGGATACTTGAAACTCATGTTTCAATTTGAAAGCATATTAATGCTAAGAATAATTGATCAATTAATTAAACTATCAGCAAATTTAAATGATGGGCACAGAGCAAGAGAAACTAGCATTTTATCAATAGAAAAACATATATACATATAACTGACTATATAATATAACTATATATAACCATGTAATTAATTACTGATTACTTCCGCAAAAAGTAATCCCGTTACTTTACTGATTACTTATTTTCAAAAGTAGTTACTTAGTTACTTTTTGAAAACATGATTTACACCCTGAATAGGTGATAAAGTGATAGATCTTTCAGCCCAATTCTACTTTTTCTGCATAATCCATCATACAAAATGTAAT